ATGCTTAACGAGGGCTTAGTGCTATGCGCATGTATGGTAACGTGCGTTGCGCACGGTTGCGTGCGTGCGTGCATGAAGTGCATACGAAATGCACTTCCGAGACTTAGACATGAATTCAATATCAAAATTGATTCCGAATATTCTTAACTTTTAATAATCAATCCCGATTAATAATGTCCGTTTATAAAATAAATGGTTCGGAAATTAATTATCGAATTTGACTCGGTTAATAATTAACCGAATAAACTTTTCGACTTAAAGTCGAACTCATTCACTTAAACGCTGAAAATGAACGGGATTAATAGAAGAAAATACATCACTTTCATTAACAAGAAACTGGGCTATTACAGATTAATTCAGTATGGTTTGACCGAATTTTATGACAAGAGATTGTTTGACACTTTTCTCATAGTTATATGATTCGTGTGAATATTATAGTAGAAAAAGCATTCTAACAAAATTGTAATGAATTCTAATTTATAATAGTAATAATCTATACCATAATAATTTCTAACTTCTAACATAGTAGTACTAAATATTATTTCATAAGGCTATCAATTCTAAACTATACCATAATAATATCCAACTTCTAACATAATAAGATATTATAATCTATAACATAATCAGTTCTAATCTATAATACAATAATTACTAACCTCTAACAAAATAGCAATAAATTCTGATTCATAAGACAATCAATTCTAATCTATAATACAATAATTTCTAACCTCTAACATATTAGTAATAAATTCTAATTTATAAGATATTGAATTCTAATATATAACATAATAACTTATATTAATATAATTTTTCCAAACAAGTATCATTTCTGATTTATAATAATATAACTTATACTAATTATAATAATATCATTTTTTTAAATGTATATGTTGTTAGTTCATTTTATCCTCAACAAGTGCATAACAAACATAACCCGAAATTATTGTATAAACACGGCCGAATATCATAATATATCAATAACATAATGAATGTCATCAATCACAAACATAATATACCATAACAATTTTCAACTTCTAACATAATAGTAATAAATTCTAATTTATAACATAATCAATTCTAATCTATAATACATTAATTTTTAACCTCTAACAAAATAGCAATAAATTCTAATTCATAAGACAAATCAATTCTAATCTATAATACAATAATTTCCAACCTCTAACATATTAGTAATAAATTCTAATTTATAAGATAATCAATTCTAATATATAACATAATAATTTATACTAATATAGTTTTTTCAAACAAGAATCTAATTTATAATAATATAACTTATACTAATTATACTAATATCATTTTTTTAACTGTATATGTTGTTAGTTCATTTTATCCTCAACAAGTGCATAACAAACATAACCCGAATTAAAATATAAACACGGCCGAATATCATAATATATCAATAACATAATGAATGTCATCAATCACAAACATAATATACCATAACAATTTCCAACTCCTAACATAATAGTAATAAATTCTAATTTATAACATAACCTATTCTATTTTATAATGCAATAATTTAATAATTTCTCACCTCTAACATAATAGTAATAAATTCTAACTCATAAGATAATCAATTCTAATATATAATACAATAATTCCTAACCTCTAACATAATAGTAATAAATTCTAATTTATAAGATAATCAATTCTTATATATAACATAATAATTTATACTAATATAATTTTTTCAAACAAGTATCATTTCTAATTTATAATAATATATAACTAATACTAATTATACTAATTTAATTTTTTTTTAATTTTATATGTTGTTAGTTCATTTTATCCTCAACAAGTGCATAACAAACATAACCCGAAATTAACGTATAAACACGGCCGAATATCATAATATATCAATAACATAATGAATGTCATCAATCACAAACATAATATACTATAACAATTTATATTAATAAAATTAATATATATTTTATATTAATATATTAATACAGTTAATATATTATATTATATATATTAATTTTGCGTATCAGTGCTTAATAATGCAGAATAATCTAGTTGGGGAAAACCATTGGGGATAGGAAAGCAAACAAATTTGGAATTCGAAGAACGTTGGTTTTTTGTGGCAAACGGCTCAACCGATTGAGGTGAAGGAATTGGGGCCAATTTTTTTCAATTCATTTTCTGTTGCCAGGAAGACAATGATAAAGTGATGGCGAGGGTTAACTGGGTCTTTGAAAACCAGTATCTGGTTCTTCACGAGTTGAGGGAAGACATTTCAGAGAAAGATGTGTAAGTAAAAAATTAGTTTTGTACCGATTTAACGACTCTATTTTTCGTAAGTAGAAGAATTAGGAAATTCTCAAAACATTTTTAAGGTGAATGAGAAATTAATTCTAAGTGTTATATTTTACTTAATTGAGTTTAAATAACTCAAAAGGTTGTAGGGTTCACAAACATTATATTTTAATAAATGTTTGGACAAACTAAACGAGCCACAAACATGGAGAGTTCATATTCAAAGTTCATATTCATCCTTTTTACAAAGTTCATATTCATCTTGTGTTCCATAACCTTTGCATCCTTTTTCAAAGTTCATATTCATCTTGTGTTCTTTGTGTTCTTTTTATCTTGAGAGTTCAAAACATAAGTATTGTTCGCCGAAGGTTTGTGTATTTGAGTTACCGCTATACACAAATCATAAAGTCGTTGTATCTTGGAGGCGTTAGCCGTGAACCGTGGGTATTATATGGGGCTTTTTCGTCTTAAGAAGAGCGTATCTTACGTGCCTCGACTTTGTTCGTGTTACCAAAATTCCTTCTATTTCTTAAAGCCATTTTTCTTGAAATTCACATACCAAATATAAACTACAATCTTAAGACGAAATATTGTGAGTTCATAAGATGGCAACCTAAAGAAACCAAACAAATGCTCAACCTACCACTATACCGATGGTAGCTGCTCCTGTCCAAGGCGAGAGACCGCCGAAGTTTAATGGCTCTGATTTCAAGAGGTGTCAACAAATGCTTTTCTATCTCACAACTCTCTCCCTCTCTCATTTTCTTTCAGAGGACCCTTTTAACGTCCCCGAAAGTGAGACCGACATGCAAAAGCGTGCGGCCTCGGATGTTTGGCATCACAATGATTTCTTTTGTAGAAATTATATCCTTAACGGACTAGACGATTCTCTTTATAATGTTTGTAGTCCAATTAAGACGACAAATGAGTTATGGAATTCCTTGGAGATCAAATACAAGATGGAAGATGTCGGGATTAAGAAATTTCTCGTCGGCAAATTCCTAAAGTACTTAATGGTGGACACCAAGTTGGTGGTTAGCCAAATTCAAGAAATTCAAATCATCTTTCACGATTTGTTGGCCGAAGGATTGATTGTGAATGAGGCCTTCCAAGTTGAGGCTATTGTTGAAAAGTTACCACCACTTTGGAAGGACTTCAAAAACTATCTCATGCATAAACGCAAAGAGATGCCATTGGAGGATTTGATTGTTCGACTTCGAATTGAGGAAGATAATCGAAAATCTGAAGTAAGGGCCAACCGAAGCGACTTCGAGGCTAAGGCAAACTTGGCCGAGTCAAGCTCTAATAAGAAGCGCAAGAGAACTTCAAAGGAAAAGCAACCTCAAACGAGCACCAAGAAGTTCAAAGGGAATTGCTACAATTGTGGTAAATCTTGGCATCTTACCAAAGATTGTCGTCTTCCGAAGAAGGGTAAAGATAGCGCACATATAGCCGAGGATAAATCTATTCCCATTGACTTATCTGAGCTCGATCTAACCGTTGTGGTCCAAGAAGTTAACTTGGTTAATAATCCACGAGAATGGTGGGTCGATACGGGAGCAACTCGGCATATTTGTGCGGATAGAGATATGTTCTCGACTTATACCCCTACCGACGGAAGGAAATTGTTCATGGGCAACTCTTCGACATCAAACGTCGTGGGAACGAGAAAGGTGGTGCTAAAAATGACTTCGGGCAAAGATTTGACGCTAACGAAAGTGCTGCATGTCCCGGACATCCGCAAGAACCTTGTATCCGGTGCTCTTTTGAGCAAAGCTGGTTTTAGATTAGTCTTTGAGGCTGATAAATTTGTAATGACTAAGAATGGTGTCTTCTTAGCGAAAGGGTACCTAGATGAGGGTCTTTTTAAGATGAATGTAATTAATGTTATCCGCCAAGATGCGAAGAATAAAGAAAATATTTCTTATTTATTGGAATGTTCTAATTTATGACATTATAGATTAGGACATGTGAACTTTAACACAATTAAAAGGTTGGTGAATTTGGAATTGATACCAAAAATTAAAATCGATTCACACAACAAGTGCGAAACACGTGTTGAAGCAAAAGTGGCTAAAGCACCATTTAAACCGGTGATGAGAAGCACTAGTCCACTCGAGTTAATTCACACTGACATATGTGATTTAAAATTTTTTCAAATTCGAGCGGGGATGAATTATTTCATTACATTCATAGATGATTGTACAAGGTATTGTTATGTTTATCTACTAAAGAGTATAAAAAGGGCATTACAGGCCTTTAAGACGTATAAAATTGAAGTTGAGAATCAACGTAGTCGAAAGATAAAAGCGATTCGAAGTGATAGAGGAGGCGAGTATATATCCCCGTTTGAAGTGCTCACTGGCGAAAAGCACAAAAAAAAGAGTAGAGTCCAGTATTATTCATCAAACGACAGCTCCGTATTCACCACAATCTAATGGAGTGGTCGAGAGAAAGAATCGAACACTAAAAGAGATGATGAATGTGCTTTTGATAAGTTCGGGCTTACCCCAAAACTTGTAGGGGGAAGCAGTTCTGTCGGTAAATTATATTTTGAACAAATTACCCCACAAAGGTAACGACAAAATGCCATATGAGGTATGAAAAAGTCATAGACCTACCTACAAATACTTAAAAGTGTGGGAGTGTTTGGCAAAGGTTGAAATACCTAAACCGAAACAAGTGAAAATTGGACCAAAGACTATTGATTGTATATTTATTGGCTATGCAAGCAAATAGTAGTGCTTATTGATTTTTGGTGCACAAATCAGAAATTTCGGAGATTTATAATGGAAAAATTATTGAGTCTTGGAATGCGGTGTTCTTTGAGAATATTTTTCCTCGTAAAGACAAGGAAGAAACAATTCCGAGAAAAAAGACATTTGAAGAGGCCAAGCTACCTCAAGAAATTGAGTACGAGCCAAGGCGTAGTAAGAGAACAAAAGTACCTAAGTCTTTTGGTTCTGAATTTCTAACTTGTGTATTAGAAAACAAATCGAGAACCATTCGGGAGGCTTTGACAAGTTCGGATGCTCCTTTTTGGAAAGAAGCTATCAATAGTGAGATTGAATCCATTATGCACAATATTACTTGGGAGTTGGTTGATCTCCCACCGGGTAGCAAACCTTTGGGATGTAAATGGATCCTTAAAAAGAAGTATAAAGCTGATGGAACTATTGATAAATATAAGGCCCAATTGGTTGTAAAAGGTTTTAAGCAAACAGAGGGATATGATTTCTTTGATACATATTCTCCTGTAACTCGAATCACATCTATACGTGTTCTCATTGTAATTGCTGCAATGCATGACCTTGAGATTCATCAAATGGATGTGAAAACGGCCTTCTTAAATGGAGACCTCGAGGAGAAAATTTATACGGAACAACCCCAGGGGTTCGTTGTACCTGGAAAAGAGCAAAAAGTGTGCCGTTTGGTTAAGTCGCTTTATGGACTAAAACAAGCACCTAAGCAATGACACGAAAAGTTTGACAAAGTGATGTTGTCAAACGGATTTAAAATCAACGAGTGTGACAAATGTATCTATAATAAAGGTAACGTCGATTCATTCATGATCGTATGCCTATATGTGGATGACATGTTAATCTTGGGGAAAAAATATGGTTTAATCCTTAGTACCAAGAAAATGTTGAAACATAATTTTGACATAAAGGATATGAGAAAAGCCGATGTAATCTTAAGGATTAAAATCTCTAAAAGTTCGGAAGGAATTGCTTTGTCACAATCCCATTATGTTGAAAACATCTTGAAGCGGTTCATGCATTCGATAAGCCTCCATCTAAGACGTCTGTTGATTTAACTCAACACTTAGCCAAAAATTGAGGTGAACCAGTGTCTCAACTAGAATACTCACAAGTAATTGGGAGCTTGATGTACATGATGAATTGTACTCTCCCTGATATAGCATACTCAGTGAGTAAACTAAATATGTTCACGAGTAACCCGAGCATAGATCATTGGAATGCACTTAATCAGGTACTTAGGTATTTGAAACATACCTTGAGTTTTGGAATAACATATACGAGATATCCAGCGGTACATGAAGGGTATTGCGATGCGAATTGGATATCCGACACAAAAGACTCCAAGTACACTAGTGGTTTTGTGTTCACTATAGGTGGAGGAGCGGTGTCATGAAAATCTTATAAACAAACGTGTATTGCTAGATCCACGATGGTGTCCGAGTTTATATCCTTGGAAAAAGCTGGGGAAGAAGCTGAATGGCTTAGGAATTTCCTTGAAGATATTCCATGCTGGACAAAATCGGTATCCGCCGTAATGATACATTGTGATAATCAATCGGCAATTGGAAGGGCACAAAGTAGCTTGTACAATGGTAAGTCTCGACAAATACGTTGAAGGCATAATACAATAAGACAAATGATCTCGAGTGGGGTTATTTCGGTTGACTACGTGAATTCAAAGGAAAACCTAGCGGATCCGCTTACTAAAGGCATTAATCGAGATCAAATGTACAAGTTGGTTAGGGGAATGGGATTAAAATCTACAACATAAGAACAGTCTTAGCGATAACCCAACCTTGAGAATCGGAGATCCCGAAACCTTGGTTCAATGGGAAAACTAAGTTTGAAGTTCAGTAAAACACTTGAAAGTTTCACCCATTCTCAAGAACCGTCAAGTGTTAAAATTTGCCTAAGTGGTGAGGTTAAGTTAAGGACTTTTAATGTTCCTATACCTACGAGTGGAGTAAGATAAAATACTCTTTATAGGAGAATCATCTTTGTAAGTGAGAAGTAAATTAGCCGCTTCAACGAACACTTACTCAGCCGAGATATGGTCCAAGGCCGACATGGACACAACGTGAGAAGAAGAAATTGTTAGAGCAATTATTGTGTGAGTACTATTGTCTTAGTGCACACAAACAACTGGTAAGTTCAAAGCATCGCGCTACTAACCGACTAGTGTATCCGATAGTATTTCACTAAGGAAGATTCTAAGCCACAAGCTATCTATCCTGATGTAATGATGGTCGCCGTAACTCTCAAGTATTGCATACATGCTTTAGTTTCTTTCATTTGGGGGATTGTAAGAAAAAGATGGTTTTGTACCGATTTAATGATTCTATTTTTCGTAAGTAGAAGAGTTTGGAAATTCTCAAAACCTTTTTAAGGTGAAAGAGAAATTAATTCTAAGTGTTATATTTTAATTAATTGAGTTTAAATAACTCAAAAGGTTGTAGGGTTCACAAATATTATATTTTAATAAATATTTGGACAAACTAAACGAGCCATAAATATGCATTATGTATGCTAGAATTGTAGAGGGGCTCGTTGGGGACAAGTAGGAAAAATGGAACTCGATTCCGAGTCTGTATGAGCTCGTATGAGTCCATGGCGCATCGGCGCGCTGCTGGCTGCAGAAATCAAAGGGTCGCAACCCTTGGTGACCATAAGGTATCTTTTGGCCAATAGATGCATCCGTTCTCGTTTGGGCACGTCCCAAAAGGTGTCTTTTGACACTTAAACCTCTTAGAGGTGTATCCCTACATCTATAAATACCTACAAACATGAAATCATTATAACATCATCAAATTATTCCATAACCTTTGCATCCTTTTTACAAAGTTCATATTCATCTTGTGTTCTTTGTGTTCTTTTCTATCTTGAGAGTTCAAAAAACATAAGTATTGTTCACCGAAGGTTCTTGTATTTGAGTTACCGCTATACACAAATCATAAATTCATTGTATTTTGGAGGCGTTAGCCGTGAACCGTGGGTAATATACGCGGCTATTTCGTCTTAAGGGGAGCGTATTTACGTGCCTCGACTTTGTTCATTTTACCAAAATTCCTTCTATTTCTTAAAGCTATTTTTCTTAAAATTCACATACCAAATATAAACTATAAGATGCCAGTTTCAATGAAGTTCTCTGTGCGTTCAGGTGCACAAACTGCCTTTACATTGGCTAAGCACAAAGGTGGGTTTGAAGATTGAGAAATTGTTCAGAAATATTAGAAATGTGGTGGTGGTCAAAGAGGGAGGAGTCAAGGAGAGTTTTCTGCGTCTTCTGATTTCCCATGATGTTGCTGAGCCACTATCGAGATGCACTATCATTAAACTTGGGGCTCATCAACTAAGTGTTGCTTTCCAGTATGAAAAATTAGTAAGTCTGAGTTATTATCGTGGTTTGGTGGGACATCTGGAGAAAGACTGCAGAACTACATTATCTCATATTGAGGAGGGGAAGGTGATGGAGGGACAATATGGGGACTGGATGAGAGCTGCGGATTTTGGGAGGAGCTTTTTATCACCACCCAACTCACATCCATCTCATCACTCAAACAACCAAAGTAACTTCACTAATCCAGGAGAGCCATCAGCTTCTGCAAAACAAAATGTGGATGAGTTACTGAGGGAAATGACTACATTGAATGTTGCTTTAATACCAATGGTCATTTTAATTGCAGGGGAGAAAAAGGATGAAAATCAGAGCACCTGCCCACAAGTGAACATTATACAAGATCCTGTTGTGGTGGAAGATAGAGGTAGTGCCAAGAAACCTAGGAAGGAGCTAGCTATGAGCTGGTGGAAGAAGTTCCCTCTGTGGCCACAAAACATAACCAGGGAAAGAATCTAAGGAATCCAAAAGGGAAGCAGAAAACTACTACGTGGGAAAGGAAAGACTAGCCATTGGGGAGACTAAACAGAACAGTTAGTCCCAGGGAGGTTTTTCTAAACCCTGACAGAGGAAAAAGACAGAGACAGCCTCTGGATCAAGCATAAGATGCTTGTCATAAGGAACCAGCTAAGAGACAGTGCAATTTAAATCAAAATGATAAGGAAGAACAGGTGGGGGTAGCCAGCCATGAATGGCACCAAATGGATAAATGAAGACAATCCTGTGGAAC